ATAAAAAAGACAAAAAGGGCCTACTGAATACTTTTGACTCGCAGACTGACCTTCTAATTTCTGTTGTCACGCCTTAAGTGTAGTTGCTAAAAGAAAAATGTTTCCTTGCAACTGAATATGATATTTAGTTATGTAATTTAGTTAAAATACTGAAAACTATGTCAAATGCTTTGGAAAGGATCAGTACTATAAGATGACAAAAATTTCATTTTGTTATGTGTGAGCAAGGCTGTTGTAAAATACTTAAACAAAATCCTTAAAACTTGAAAAAGAGTTAGCATTCTGATTGCTACACAAATATTCTTAAGTTCTTATTCCACTTTAACGAAACTAAAATGGGAAACTATTTAGTATAGACATACTCTGGGCAATGGCCTTCGTCTTAGTTTAAAAGAGTAAAAGTTGATCATATGTTTATCAATGTTAAATCAAAACAGGATTTTAAAGTTATGTATGTGTCTTCTTTTTTCAATTTTTTTTGATTTAAACATTTTTTTCTTTAACTAACTTTTTAAAGAAATAATAACTATCATATGAAACTGGTGAGCATTGCATCCAATGACTCTCAAAACTTCCACATGAGGCCTCTCCCTACGTATCAGAATCAATGTCCAGTGCTAATGCAACAGCTTACGTGAATATATTCCGCAAACCCTGTAAGCCCAACATGTCCAAGGCTGAACTCATCACCTTCCTGTGCATCTGCTTTCCAGTGTTTTTGCTGTGGGTTGGTGAGAACAACATCTTCCTGGATGCCCAGCTTATATCCCTGGAAGTTAGCTTTGTTTCTACATCTCCTCCACCTCCATGACATTTTCATACTAAACCATTTTTGAAGCCAACCTTTTTTCCTATCTCTACTATTACTCTCTTAATCCTGGATCTCATAATACCTAACAGCTTAACTTTTTTTCCAACTTTTAATATATTTCTCTTTAAATACATTTCCACGCAGACTCAAAAATATTTTATCTAAAATACAAATCTTAAGACCTTACCTCTCCACTTAAGGATCCTATAGAATAAAGTACATATTTCTTACTGAGGTCCTGTGCGTTTTTGCTCCTCCTTTCTTTATTTTTCATTCTAGAAATGCTAAGCTACTTGAAGTCCCCAGACCACATTCATACTTTTACTAAGGTCATTGCTTTCCTTGAAGTCGGAAGTGCACTCTTCTGTAAAATCCCAACACTTCACTTAGCTAACCTCAGGTGTTAGCCTTCTGTGACCCTTTTTCCCCTGAAATCTAAGACATTATGGGCATCATAGAACTTTTATTGCTGTCATCATATTGCCTTAATGATTAGTCCATTTTTCTTATTCACTATTAGACTTATCGCATGGTCCTAATCATTTGCTTACTTAAAATCTGGGAACTTCATGAGAAAATCATCTGTTGTGTTCATTTTTTTATTCACTGTATCAAGCACAGTGCTTGGGATATAGTAACCCCTTAATAAATGTTTGGTGAATGAAATAACAAATTGAAACACTGTACTGTAATAAATATTTTTGTATAGAATTGTTATCTATAGCTACACAATTAATTAAAATTAATATAATCAAAGCTTCTAAACATTCTGAAATTAAAACTCAATTATTTTTTCCATTTTTGGATGTTACTTTAAATTTATAAAAAGAAATTATAACAGCTTGGCTTTTGATATTTGTTTTAAGGTAATAACATTGTTGTTATTAACTTAGTGATTTTAAATTTCACTATACAAAAAAATGCTATATAAAATCAATATTGTCTCAATCTGAATAACTGTGTTAATATTACATTTTATCTTAATTAAGGAATGAAACCCCCCTAGAATGAATACATTTTTCTATTTATAACCATGGTTGGTTAAATCCTCAGTTAATTAAATTGTCTTAGCCAATAGGACCTCATATTTGAAGCCTGGGTTTCTTCTGTGAGAACTGCTGTCTTTGTCATTTCCTGCTGGATGTAGCATGGACTCTCATTTCTTCCTAATGCTGATTTGCACCAAGTCTTTCAGATGTCCTTCATTTTCACAGTTCCAGAGGATAAATAGGCAGGGATGTGGTGATTTCCACTTTGTTAAAACTCTACGAGTAGGATCTATGGCAATGCCTTTTATCATTTAATTCTTATAATGAAGTCAGCTAAAAGTTTGCACTGCCAGTAATTTCAAAATTTAAAAATTTGCTACACTCACCAGATAAGCAAATGATGAGGTAGATTTTTTTCCTCTATTTTTTACCTAACATAATTATGATTGCAGCAGAAATAATACTTAAGTTTTAGATAATTGCCAAAATTGAACAGCAGAGGGCAGAAAATAACAAACTGTTTCTTGTAACACACCGTTAGATTCAATTGTATACGTAGCAGTTTTGGAATTTTCAAAGTTGATTTTATGGCTGATCAATAGTCTTATGACAGGAAGTTTATAAACACTAAAAGTAGAGCTCTGGACATTCAAAAAGTAAATTCCAGTATTTTTCCATTTATTTGTATAACCATTTATTTCAATCAACTTAACTCATTACACTTAAATTGACAGCATTCTGCACTTGAAATATATAAACTATTTAAACATTACGATGAATCTGGAAAAGTTTCATGAGTGATATATATGAAAGCTAATATAATTATGCTGATTTTTCAGGAAATAAGTTTTCAGACATGTGGGAGCTATATACATTTAACTACCTTGTGAACAAAGATAAATTGAATCGCAGTTAACTCACTGGAATGCCTGCTAAAACTTTTATTATCATCTTATATATGAATTATAATCGCCCAGCATACCATAATATTTGTCCTGAGCTCTTACATATTACTTACTGTGCTCTATGATTCAGCTGATTCTTATTTTTATACCCTTTTTTAAATATGGAATGTAGTTCAGTCATTTTTGAGTTCATATTTCCCTTTGATTTTGAAACAAGTTAAGATAAAAATCATTTAGAAGCATTCTTATTTTTTAAATTTAATTTACCTCAACCCACACTTTAAACATTAATGTTTATTCCTTATTCAAGCCAGCCCCTGGTCTCTCTTTATTTCACTCCAAGTTGCTTTGTACGAAATTGAAGTTTTTCTTGTGTAAAAAATTTAATATAGAAAAAGACTAAAAAGGCATTTAAACAGTTTTTAAAGGTTTAAAAAAACTTCTGTTCTGTTATTTATTCTTTTAGAATTTTTTAAATTTCAAAGACGAAATAATTTGAAATGATTTTTGTGCCTTACATCATAGTTATTAAATATGTATGATTTATTTAATTATCTTTATTTTGCTACTTTGGATTTATATGTCATTTATGTCTTCTATTTTTATTTAATCTTATTAATTTATTTTAATTCTAATTTATCTTAGTCCTAATTTATTTTAATTTAGTTTATTTTTACTATATTTATTATTGAATATTTAAAAGGCTAAATACATTTTCATTCAGGGAACAAGCTATATATGGTGTGAAATATTTATTAACAGACTAAAATAATTTCTAAGTGATAATATTAAGAGATATTTTTACCTATGGTCTATAAACTTAGCCATAGATTATAGCTATTTTAATATTCTGATTTAGGAATCACAGAAAAATAGAATTAAGAGTCTTAAGAGTCCATTTTGTTCATCCTTTTAATTTTTAAAATGGAAAAATTGAGGCCCAGCGTGATTAAGAGTCAAGAATAAGATAATACAGTCAACACGAGGGCTGCAGGCATGATATTAATGTTAAAATTGCACAAGAAGACAGCACGATAGATTCTCCTGGCATTTGGTAACATTAGCTCTTTTCCCTTTAATAACGTGAGCGTCAAACTTCTTCCTGCTGGAAGCAGCACCTTGCACTGAATCTTCCTTTATTTGCTTATACGGCAAAAAATATACAACTTGGTGAGGAATTTATGAGCCAGCCCAGGGAATCGCGGGAGCAGGTTTCCTGGGATAGTCTTGACAAGTAGTAGGAAGAACACAAATTCCATAGGGGAAAGTCCAGTCTTCAACTCTCCCCACCAACTCTGTTCTTACAAACATTTTATCCCCAACCTATCTCTTTCCCAGTGGTTCAAGTGTTCAACTCGGCGAGGTAGATTAACTTTCTTTAGTCAGTGATTTTTGAAAACTCAGGACCCAAATTGGGTCTCTAAGTCTCTGAGAAAGATTCCGTAGCTCCACAGCCTTTCTAGACCAGCCTTCATCTTCTAATCATTTCCTCCTATGAGCCTTTGCCTAAAACAGAGTCCCCTGCTTTCAATGCCTGTAAAGAAAGGGCTAAGAAGCCAAGTCTATTTGTCTCTACAACTGGAGGGAGGCTGCGGTGAAGGCGTGGGAGACCCGCACGCGCTGTAGCTAGGCAAGGGGGCATCACGATCCGGAGGAATGTACTCTAATGCGATTTCGGTGTAAAGTATTTCAGAGACTCACTCTCGATCTCCTCTGAGACTTTAGCTTTTAAAGATAAAATTGTGGGTTTTCCCTGGATCCTGACTACATCACGTGAAGCTAAAGTTCACAATTTGGGAAGATTTCTTAGATGAGTATTTTATTTGCGTGCTTTCCAGCCGGGTCAGGTGAGACCTGGTGATGGCAGCGTTTCCTATTGCTAAGTGGGTTTTCTCAGGAGATAGAAGATAACCGAAATTACTTTTAATGTCAGACAGGAGATACTGGTGAGAGAACTCTCCACCGCCGACAACAATTAGCAATTCGGCTTCTCCTGTGCAGCATCCGGAAATCAGCTTTGCTGCATTTGGTCCAGGCTGGAGCATCTCCATAGCCGCTGCAGCAGCGGCACACGGGGAGCGCGCGACTGGGAGCGAAGCGCTGTCCTCGGTGCTGAAAGTCAGAAGTGCGCGGTGGGAGCCACAGCTCCGGAGACCTGAGGTCTCGCGGAGGGACAGCAGCTATCGACTCGGAGCTGCGCTTCCTCAGAGCCGCGCACGCTACGCGGCCGGGGCGGTGCGGGGTGTGGGGCGCCGCGCGGGGGAGGGGTGGCCGCGCGCGCCCGCCGCCGATCGCGAGTCGCGCACGCGCGTCGGGGACTGCCTGCCCCTCTCTGTGACTCGCCTGTGCGTGTGTGTGTATGTATGTGTGCGTGTATATGTGTGTGTGCGCGCGCGCGCGAGTGAGAGTGGAGAGAGCGAGAAGAGCGCGCGCGAGAGGGTGAGTGTGTGTGAGTGCATGGGAGGGTGCTGAATATTCCGAGACACGGGGACCACGGCGGCGGCTCCGCTGAAAACTGCATTCAGCCAGTCCTCCGGACTTCGGGAGTCGGCACAGGGCGCAGGGCATCAGCAGCCACCGGCAGGATCTGGGAAACAGGGATTCTTCTGCCTCCACTTCAGGTTTTTAGAAGCTTGGTGCTAAATTGCTGTCTCAAAATGCAGAGGATCTAATTTGCTGAGGAGAACGGCCAAAGAAGGAAGAGGAGGAAAAGGAGAAAAAAAAAAAAGGGTATTTTGTGGATGCTCTACTTTTCTTGGAAATGCAAAAGATTATGCATATTTCTGTCCTCCTTTCTCCTGTTTTGTGGGGACTGATTTTTGGTGTCTCTTCCAACAGCATACAGATAGGTAGGTACCTTTTGTGCTGTGCTTTTGAATTGTGCATAATTTTGTGGTAATCTTTGTTCACAGTGGACAAATTAATTCATGTCATGTAGACTTATGTCATACCTTGACTGCATTCCAGATTTAAACTGCCTAGACTATGCATATTTTTCTTAGGATTAAGCAAAGAGAAATGACTATGTCTTTGATACAATGGAAGAAAAGCTCTTCTCGTTTACGATCCCCCAATTTTATTAATTCTGCCTTAACAACATTTTCCAGTTTGTTCAGATGCTCTTGGGGTCTGGACGCAAAGCTGTGATTATGAGGAGAGGCGACCGTTTCTGGCCGCCTACCTCGCCCTCAGACTCGCTCCTCTTGACCCTGTGCCTACCTTGTGGTGTTGGAACCCTGCTGCCCAAGTCCGTGGATGTGTCCATTTGGCCTATTAGCGTGCATAGGAGACTCCGGGGGTACTGTGCAATAGCGTGCTTCCCTCCCTCCCCTCCCAGGCTCTGACACTGTTCTCTCGCTTGGTGTTTGTTCTTTGCAGGGGGGCTATTTCCTAGGGGCGCCGATCAAGAATACAGTGCATTTCGGGTAGGGATGGTTCAGTTTTCCACTTCGGAGTTCAGACTGACACCCCACATCGACAATTTGGAGGTGGCCAACAGCTTCGCAGTCACCAATGCTTGTAAGTAATGAATATTCATGTCTGTCGGGTGCTGCACGCGGAAAGCAATGGAGTGTGACTGTGGGGTGGTGTGTGTGCGCGTTTCTGTGTGTCGGTGTGTGGGTGTGAGTGACTGCACACGCGCGTGCGTGTGACGGCGTAAAGAGAAGGTGGCTGTAATCTTGGGGACCCCCGCTGGTTGGAGGGGGCTGAAAGGGGGGCGAAAGGAAATGAGGATTGAAGAGTGTGCGCGTTAGGGAGCCGTGGGGGGCTTCCTTGGGTTTAGGGGTTTTCGCTCATCTGAAGTGCTCCGAGAGCAGCACTCCCCGCCGCCTCCTCCCGCGACGCGCGCCTGCTGGCACACTGCCCGCGGAGAGCACGTTGTTCCCCAGGGCGCGCTGTGGGGCGGTTGGACAGATCCCACCGGGACTGCCCGAGCCCCGCTGCCTTCCCCGGCAGATGCAGCCTGCGCCTGCGGCCCCGAGGTTTAGATCTGCAGCCCCAGCTCAGGCTCGCGCGGCGGCCTCCGCGAGACTCATGTTATTCTCTTCCATGGGACAAGTTGTTGTGATGGCTCCGGAGTTAGGCTGGGTGTTGTTACATAACGCCCACCGGGGGGCGAGGAGCTCGGCCGACGCAGGCCTGCACTCCGCGGGGCGACTGGGGGTGGGGCTGGAGGGGGTAGGGGGACCGCTGTCAGTGTCTCCGGCTCAGCTGGGCTTCAGCCGAAGTTGAAGGGGGCAATTCCACCCGGGGCGCCGCGGTCAGCTGCCCGGCCGGACGCGCTTTGTTCTCAGGTAGCCCGGCTCCAGCAAAGGCAGCCAACTCTAAAGCAGTTGGATGTGGCCGACTTTGAAAATCTGGAGAAGTCCCCGATCAGCCATTTTAGTCTTTGCAGTGCTCCATATTAGCCCTTCCACTCCGCTCAGGGCTCCGGGACTCGCTAGGAGGCTCCAAGAAGGCTTCGGATGAAATGCTAGAAACGGAATATTTGGCATCTAAAAGGCTCAATGGAAAGGCTCGCGAGCCCTGGTCCCGGCGCTCCCTCCCCCGCGCGGGCGTGGGCAGGCCGCGCGGCCACCGTGCCTCCCTGCCTTCTGCCCCGCAGCTGCCATCATTTCCTGCTGGCTGGACTGGGGTGATCCTTTCCAGCCTTGATGTTCGCAGTCTTTATTGCATAGATAACAATTTGGGGGAGATTTGCAGATGGCTCACCTCCCACTTTGGCTACAGTGTAAAGGAGCTAGTGGAAAATTACCACGGAAAAGCTCAACTGCAGCGTCCCCACGTTAGACAAACTACTGGTTGCCATTCCACTTCCCATGTTAGACTTTAGTAAAACATTACATGATTTAGCTTGATTTATAATATCGGGAAAATCAAGTCATTTTGCAACTACTGTCACCCGGATGAATGAAGAAATGAAATCTCCTACTGATTGCATGGGGCATTACTGTGGTCCTAATAGGTGCCTAGAATCCAACTGTTTATGATTTAAGAAGATTTCAGTTATAAATATTTTCTTGAAATGTTGATGCCAATTGAGAAAAGAAAGGTGGGGCGAGAGGAGAGAGAGAGAGAGAGCGAGAGAGAGCGAGAGAGCACTTAAAGTGGATTAGCAGCTGTGAAAAATATCAGTAAAAGAGTATCTCGGAAATATTTTGGAAATTGTTAGTCATACAGACAGACAAAAACCCCACATAAATTAAATTTTGAAAGCTTTTCGCTTGACCTATTTACTTAGCAGATTTAGAAAATTCGTTTGATATAAAGACGTTTCCATTTTTACATGTATCTGTGCTGAGTATCTGTGTATAATTGCATTGTAGTGTGCAAATGCTTTAATAAGTAATGAATCCCAAAGAAAGACTATGTATATAGAGAGTGCCCAGATTTTAAGTGGGACGTGAAAGTACTGGCAGCTATACATCTTGAAAACAGTTAATGATTGAGGGTCATTCACTAGAGAAAATAATGAAAGGCACTTACTCTGTAAATAACAGATATGTCCCCAGAACAAAATGAATATTCCTTGAGTCCATCAAATATTGAATTACTCTGTTGAGGCTTTTTAAAGATCATAGATTGTGTATGTTAAGTCAGATTTTGCTCTTCAGGCTGTATTTTCAATTTTTTTTAAATATAAATTCTTCTGAAAAAAGGCATACATCCAGAATATGGGCATATGTTAAGCCTATAGATTCATTAATTTTTTTAAGAAAATGGATATATTTAATAAACACATGGATCTCATTTTGTTAAAACCACACAATTTAATTCATAGGTTGGGGAAGCTGGGATAATCAAATCTTTATTTGCACAGATTTTTTGCTTTTCTCTGAAAGTGAAGCTCAAATAAATAAGTGCATGTCTTCAGACCCTAAAATTACCCCTCCATTGATTATTATCCAGGGAAAACAAATTATTTTGAGGACCTGGACAAATTTCAAAGATGCCAACATGACAATTCTGAATCACAGCATTCGCAGCTCCCATGCTATGAGTAATGGCACTGATTGTTAAAAGGAACTAGAGAAGCCCTTTTAGAGAGGAAAGGCTGCTTGGATAGAATTTTCTGGAGTTGGCACTGACTCATTGACTGAACAAATCACTGAACATTTTTTCTGGCTCAATGTCTTTATCTCTTTAGGAATTTCAAAACTTAGAGTATTTTTATCATTCTTTTTTTTGTGTGTGTGCTAAGCCCAATAGAAAATGAAAAATTAGTTTAACTCTTCAGAGAAAGAGAGCGAGAGAAAAAGGAGGGGAGAAAGAGAAAAATGCTTATGTAAACTGCAACCACAAAGTCAATAAATGAATGGAAATCTCCAATGTCAAATTTGTCAAGATGAGTCTTGATCATTTAAATCCCGCTCAAGGTTTTTCTCCAGTGCTTCTCCTTCTATCCTTTGATTTCTTGCCTTTTTCGTCAGAGGAATCCATGACTGTTTTGTATCTAAAGTGAAAGAAACAGCATTAAATACGTTGATAGCTAAGACCAATACGTCTTTTTCTCATTTCCTCCAGAAATCTCAGGAATTCTGCTTTTTAACTACAGTATTAAATAACATAGATCATCATTCAGTGATTACAAAGTAGCTTGTTCTTTTAACCATAAAATTCCCACAGGGTTAAATTTATATATTCAGAAAGTTGTGTTTTATACCTTAATAATATAATTTCAAAAGAGACAATGGAATTTAATTTTGTTTTGAGAAACTTCTTTGAAAATATGGATGTTGACAGTGATTTAAGGGCCCAGAGGGATCCACTGAATGGGTTACGGTTACAAAAGAAATAAATTCATGCGATTCTGAACTGAGTAAATTGACTGTGTGGATCTTACTGAGCTCCCACACCCTTGCGTTTCACAGTCACAGTGGGATCCTGAAAGTATTGTTTGTTCCCATTTGTTTCCATGGGTACCTGAGGAAATAAAGATGGATTTCCAATTTCTTTGTATTTCTCTTTCCCTTTTTCCCCCTTCACTCTCACTCCTTATTCCTTCTTTCCTTTCCTTCTTCCCTCTCTCCTAGGCTAGAGATAGTAGTAACACTTTTTTTTTGTAGGTTTTTCAAACATAAGACTCCTTTTGAGAAAAGAAAAAAGCTAAAACTAGAAAAAAAATTGAAACCAGGGATAGGCCTCAATAATTCTTCTATTCATTCAATAAACATTAAATGAATGCCTTCTAGTTATCAGTGATTAAGTGAATGCTTTTCCCATGGTAACTCATTTTCTCTAGCCTTCCCCCCCGACCCCGCTCTTTTGAGACATTGTCAAAGCCTTGTAGGCCTTGATGCATTTCATGTGCATTGGCAGCTGTGGTCTTCTCCAGGAACTTTAATGACTATGTAAGGGTATTCTAATAGTTCTTCCATGCAAGCAGTTTATTACAGTAACTAAAAAATACCTGACTGTTAGTGAAGATAATATATATATAGATATATATACATTATATATTATAATTAAGATATATCTTAATTATAAGATAATATATATACCACACATAGTACATAGTTACTTACCAAAAGCCATGGCAAATTTTTGGAAAATACTAAGAAGTTTTTCATTCTAAACAATTTTAGTATATTTTACTGCTTGGCTGATTAGTCAAATTCGTTCAAAATAAAACTTGTCTAAAGGGTTAAAACTATGAGTATTTTTATCCCATAGGACTTGGGGATTGAAAGTATTAAATAGTGAATTTACTCTTCAGAATCTCCCCCTTCGAATCCTTTTGATGAATGACTTCAACAAATAGTTATCAATATGGTTACAAATTATTGAATAACTTTATATTTCAATTACATAAAAGAAAATAAGTTATAAAAATATTAAAGAAACTGCAAATAAAAATCTACTTTTTCTCTAAACCAGCAGATGGAGATGTTGGAGAAAATATTGTTCTTTCATAAAACTGTTGCACACACTAAAAACCTTTAAAAACATTACACATAAGTAAATTTAGAAAAACTGAAAAGAAATGACATCTCATTTGAAAAAAATGTCATTTAAAATACTGTTTGAACAAGGGTACAAGTGAATCTTTCTATGCGTAGAATATGAATGTTTTAACACAATAACTAAGAAAATTACGTGAAGGCTGTGTTAACCAGTTTGATGGAAGTGTTTTGGATTGTTTGTGAAAACCCCACACTGTACCTCTGAAGTGCATTAATGTACACAGTTACCATTCAATAAAAAAAAAAATGCTGTTTGAAAAATAATTTTCAACTTCTTTTAAAAACAGATTGCCCTACTTTTTATTATTAAAAAGATTATCTTAAATATTCATATAAATTTGATTCATAACCTATAGAAACAGTTTAAACTGTAAGTACTCTTGGTAGAGAGCAAATGTTATTTGTTTAGTTTTTAAACCTCGATTCTTCAATATAATTTTTGAGAATGTGTTTCTTATCATTGAATTTTAGTCATGAATTACTGAGATTGTATATCTGTGTTCATCAAATTATTGATGTTTTCTAAGCCTTACTACAGTCTAAAGAATGGAATCC